CAACTGAGGGTTTCTTGGTGCCCAGAGTATACAGTACCTTATAACAGACAATTATGGGAGAAGTAGCCATTTAATTGGAAGTCACAGAAAGGATTTATGGAAAATTTCTTCAAGCAATAAAGTTCTAAAAAGCTTCAATAGTTTTAGTGTTATTTCTGCTGTCAGATAGTCTTGTTCCTGCCCCTAACCTGACAAAGGGACAGAGAGCCTAACTTTACACTCTATAGATCTTGAGGGTTTTTTTGTTTTTGTTTTTTTGAGACAGGGTTTCTCTGTGTAAGAGTCCTGGCTGTCCTGGAATTCACTTTGTAGACCAGGCTGGCTGTGAACTCAGTAAGATCTGCCTGCCTCTGCCTTCCAAGTGCTGGGATTAAAGGTGTGTGTGCCATCGCCACCTGGCTAGAGCTTGAGTTTTTAGTCTGTGTTGACCACATCTCCACTCGAATGGCTTCTGCAACCTGTGATGACAGAGTCAATACAGGTTAGTTCTGCTGAAGAAGCCTTCCCAGAGAACCCGGCTCTGGAAGTTAAGGAATTTTACTCATTATGATTAGTCATACTGAACCACCACATTCATAATTTGACTATAAGTAATAAGCACATAATTTGGGTACTAACTGGATTTTAGCAGTCAATTGGTGTCTTCAGGAGATAGATTATCTTGGCCTTGAGGATCTTTTGGTAATGAGTCTTACTTATCTTAGGTATTGAAAGGATTGGCAAGAAGTGTCCTCCCATCTTACTATGGGTAAGGTTTGACCTTGCTTAGCTTCTGAGATCAGATGAGATCTGGTTCCTGGAGGGTAGTATGGCTGCAGGTGACAAACAGGTGTCCTGACTTCAGGTTCAAAATGAACCACACACATGTACAGATGCAATCTGATCAGGAAGCTGTTATTACTATCTCTGAACATGTGGTTAGGTTATTACTTTACAGACGGACTAACAATATTAAAGGCTAAGTTTATCGATTGAACATACAAAGTACGAGTTGACCTACAAACTGGGGATATACTTTTTTCCAATCTAGTTTTGTTTCTTTCCTTCTGTTCATCTTCCTGTCTCTTGGTTTCTTTTGAGACAGAGTCTTACTATGTAGTCTAGGTCAGCCTCAAGCTCTCTGGGATCCTCCAGCTTTACCCTCTCAAGAGCTGGGAGTATAGACATTCAATACTCTATTGAGCCTCAAGAATCAATGCAATTTTTCAAGATTATTTTATAGTCATTTCATTTTTACCCTACCATCCCCAAACAGGGTCTTGATATGTTCCATGTCTATCCTACTTGCTTTGTAGATCAGGTTGGCCTTCAACCCAGAGATCTGCTTACCTCTGCCTCTTAAAGGCTGAGATTAAAGGCTTTTGCCACCACTCCCAACTCTATCTTCTCTTTTTGACAATTAACCTAGGCATTATTCTTCATTAATTTCTTCCAAATAGAACTGTAACTATATTCTTACAAGCTTTAACATCTCAGCCGGGCGTTGGTGGCGCACGCCTTTAATCCCAGCACTTGGGAGGCAGAGGCAGGTGGATCTCTGTGAGTACGAGGCCAGCCTGGTCTACAAAGTGAGTTCCAGGACAGCCTCCAAAGCTACAGATAAACCCTGTCTGGAAAAACCAAAACCAAAACAAAACAAACAAACAAAAAACCCAAAAAAACCCAAAAAAACAAACTTTAACATCTCATTATTTTCCAGATGAAGCAGAAGTAACAGCTTAGCATACATATTTTCCAACAATTGCTCCAACTTACCTTCCAGAATAATTTTCTAGAATTGCAATTACATATATATGCATCCAAAAACTTACTGCCAATGAAGGTTCTGGCTATTAGGGAACAGTGGGTTATTATCAGATTAGTTGTTACCCCAGGGGTAAAGAAGGAACAGAAAAGTAACCACTTCCTTATCCTCATCCTAACCTATCATTTTCCCCAAACATGGATCTGGTGTGCCATAGTCTTACTTAAAACTATTATACTTCGGGCCAGGCATTGGTGGCACATGCCTTTAATCCCAGCACTTGGGAGGCAGAGGCAGGCAGATCTCTGTGAGTTCAAGGTCAGCCTGGTCTACATAATGAGTTCCAGGACAGCCTCCAAAACAATACAGAGAAACCCTGTCTCAAAAAACAAAACAAAACAAAAACAAACAAACAAAAAACTATTATACTTTGGTGTTCTGAAACTGGGGATCCATAGAGTAGGATGTGCTTAAAATGTAAGGGTTCTAAGACCTTGGACTGGGAAAAAAATGTGTTTTTATTCTCAATTAATTCTGGCTCAAAGTTAACATTTTCTTCAATAATTATAGGCAATCACTGTATTATTAGCAGTCTTTTTTGTCACTAAAAATCTGATATTTTTACATCGTATTAAAGTTGTTGCAGGTATCTCAATATAATTTATATTCATTACTCTTTTGACATTATATAATTAGACCTGTTGCTACCTGTTAATGCATAAAGTACATCTGTAACTATACTACATATTTTAAGGCGTTTAAATACTTTCTAGTTCTATGTATTTTATTGTATACATTTAAATGGATTTTCTGAGATCAGGTTGACAGAATCTAGATTGTAAGAGGCTAAGACTAAGAGTTTTTGCCATTTATATTTATAAATTGCTTAAAGTAGATAACGTAAGTCCTGTAACATGGAATCCAGGGCTCCTCATAATATGTTCACATTTTATGATTTTCATCTTTTCCCCACCCCTATTCTTTATACTATGCTGTAGCCATATCAGATAACACTCTTATCTAGAGGCAGATAGACAGGTTTTTTTTTTTTATTAACCCTAGTTAATATACAGCAGTCATGCTTTCTTGGGCTTTACCTCATAGAGCTCTTTTCTGACTGCCAAGTTTATTATTCTTTGTTTAAAATTCTGTTTACTCTAATCATCTGTGATTTTAAGAGGGCTGTGTTTTAAACATCTTTATATTTTGTTCTTAATAAATGAGCAAGACACTTAAAATTGTCAAGGCAGAATGAGTATACAGGAATGTCTAGGGGAGTGGATCAAACCGTGGATAGTTCTTGAGCTCTAACTGTACATAGCACTGTGCAGTGGTGGCATACACCTTTAGTTACAGCACTTGGGAGGTGGAAGCAGGAGGATCTCTGTGAGTTCGAGGTCAGCCTGGTCAGACAGTGTTAGATCTAGGACAGGCAAGGCTACACAAAGAAAGGCTGTCTCAAAAAACAAAACAAGCTGGATGGTGGTGACGCATGCCATTAATCCCAACACTAAGGAAGCAGAGGCAGGAGGCCGAGTGAGTTCCAGAACAGGGTCCAAGCTACAGAGAAACCCTGTCTCAAAAAAAACAAAAACAAAAACAAAAACAAACAAACCCCCCAAAAACCAAAAAGGGTGTGTGTTACATCTGGTTTCATTAAATTGTTTGTTTAAAAAAACAACAAAACAACAACAAAAGACTGGACATAACTTATAAAACAAGAGGAAGGGGCAGTAACTGAGATGGGTCTGATTAAGTCTGGAGATGGGAAGCAGAACTGGCGGCCAATGCAGAGAGGATCTGAAAGCTTATGCCTAAGCTACGGGACAAATTCAAGGTATGCCTGTCCCTGTTACAAAAAGCAAAAGCAAAAAGCAGAAAGGGCTGGGGATACAGTTCAGCGGCAGAGCACAGTCTAGTATGCACAAAGCAGTAGGCGCAAACCTCCTGGCTACATCTTCCCTCCCACGCACACGGAACAGTGTGGACTGGAAAGGCAGCAGCCGCTTCCCTTCTCTCAGTTCCCAGAGCAGTCATTTCATTCTCTCAATATTCTGCTCAAGCGTCTCATCTTATCTTCAGCTCTTTGTTATCCAACTCCCTCAACTTCTTGTCCGTTCCCAGTTCCCATCATTACTTTATCCTTATTATTTGTACACGTTTTAGGGGGGAGCACAACAGCATTAGTTTTACTTAAAAAAAAAACAAAAAAACAAAATCCAGGTGACTCTAACGGACAGGTTTGGTTCTATTGTTATTTTCTACCCTTCCTCACCCTCCAATCATTTACTTTCAGGTTCCATGTCAAACCTTCACACCCCACCCCCCGACTGACCCAGAGCCTAGCGCTTGTTCTACTGAGCTAAATTATTCTTTTTTTTTGAGACAGGGTTTTACTATGTATCTCCGATAGCCTGAATTCCCCCAGGCTGGGTTGTGTCGGCTCCCAAATGTAAGGAATAAAAGTGTGTTCTACGACATCTGCCTTTTTTTTTTTTTTTAATTGGCTCAGACAGGCTTCCCATTTGGCGATCCAACTGCCTTATTCTTTCAGGAACTGGGAATACAGGCCAGCCAACTCAGGTAACCCGTTATCTTTTAAGAGAGCCTTTGCCCCTACATCTGGTTCGCCATTTCCCTCACTCGTTCTAGTAAGTTTTTTTTTTTCCTTGTGATCAAGATTTTGCTATTGACTCCAGGCTGGCCTCAATAGTCTGGTTGCTTTAATCGGAAGGTTTCTATTAGTAGATGACAATCCTCTTGCTTTTTACTCTTCTAGGTAGCTGTCGCACGCTTTTTTGTCCTCGCCATCCTCATGGCCATGGTGCTTCTCCCATTTTTTCTGACCAGTTACGGGTTCTAATACAAGTTCTCGATAGACTTGAAAGCCATGGGGGGGGGGGGGAGTCATCCTCTGCAATCACGGACTCCACAGTTTGTGTTGAGATCATCCCGTGTTGTTTTACTGTGTTACCATCACGGCGCTTCGAAAAACTGAAGTTACTTCACTTCCTTTTGGTATTCTGGGACTTACAGTATAGAAGCAACTTACTGAAAAGTCTGTGGAATGAATGGAAAGAAATACTTGGACTCGGGGGCGGGGACAGGTGGGGGGAGGGGCGCGCGTGTGTGGAAAGGGACGGCGCGGGGAAATCCAGCCGCAGAATGGGGAAGGGGCTCCGATACGCCAGGAGTCTGCGTGGACCGCGAATTTCCACAAATTCAGACAAACCCAAGTAGGGAGGAGGCTTCTTACCTATTCCTCAGGCCTCACCAACCCAACCAGCCTTCAGGAATCTCTGTGCTGGCCGGAAAGTGAGAGTTAAGGTCGCAAACTCAGAGTTTGCCTCTCCAACCTTACGACATTTCTATTTAGAAGCAGAGAGAGACTGTAAAGAAGAGTTCATAGCACGGCCGTAAAGTGAGGGAGGAAAAGGGAGGCGGAGCCACTCGGGGGTGGAGGAAACGGGGCGTGTCTGCGCAAGCGCAAGCCTAGCGCTCCAGTGGCGTCACGTGCGGAGGCGGGGCCGGGCGGGGCCGTCCCGAGCTTGGCAGCAGGGGGCGTGGGAGGTAAGTGCGCGCGCGCCGGTTCGTCTGCTGCTGGAGAGTCGCGCGGGGCGGGGCCGCGTGAGCGGGGTCGGGGGCGCGGGCGCGCAGGCCCAAACCAACTGGGGACGCGGAGGCAGTTGGCGGTGGCTGACGGAAAGTCCTGGCAGGACGGGGTGGGACTGCGGCGGAGATACCCTTCCCATAGGCATAAGCGGAGAACGCGGTTGAGGCGGCCGTCCCAACGCGTGCTTTCCTAGGCGGGGTGCGGCGGGGGATGTGCCTGCCCAGCCCGGGCGGAGTCTCTGTGACAGGGCGGGGGATGCGCGGACGCCGCTCACTCGGACCCTGAGGCGGCTGGGCCCACCCTCGTGGAACCGTCCGACCCCCGGCGACCTCGGCCTCTGCTGTTTTTCTCCTTCCTGACCCTGGAAACCGAGGGTGGGAAGCGGCTACCACAGAAGAGGAAGGGGCTGTGGTGGCCACCGCGGCACAGCCCGAGGTAAGACCCGCCCCAGCGCCCAGCGGCCCTGCCGCCCGGCCTGGCCCGGCCCACGTCTCCCGCTCGGCTCTTTGGCTCCCGCGGGCTGCCCAGCCCCGCCCCGGCGGAGACGCCCCGCGAGCGGCTCTGCCTCTAAAGCCTCGCGAACGCCCGAATGCGGCCCGAATCCCCCTCTAGACTCTACCTTCTCCTATCTTTCATTGAGCAGACGCCGCTCTGTGTACCTGCGGCCGCGGAGATTCTTGTCACTGGCCCCCCTCCTCCTGCTAGAACCCTTTTAGACTCTCTTAGGACTCTGACTGTAGCCTCTAGACTCCGTTACGTGTGAACGGATACCAGTCCCGGAGCCACGGCCACTAGTGCTTCCTAACCCATTGCAATGTCCCAGATCTTCGTTTCTCCTACCAATCAGCTGCCCCAACCTTCCTAGGGACCCTTCCGCAGCTTACTTCCAACCGTGTTGGCTAGCTTTCCCCCCTCACCCATCCAAGCTTTCAGATAGCCCCAATGTCATGATGCTGTTACCTCTCTGGTCAGTCCTTCAAATCACCGACCTGGTGTACCTTCCCTAGAAGACCACTCCGTAAGCAAACCTTGTTACCCGTTTTCTACCCAATCGGGAGCCTTTTTTTTTTTTGGTTGAGAAGAAATTTCCGGGAAAACTTGAAGAGGTTATTTACTTAGTCCAGTGTATTCACTCCGTTGGATTTTAAGGGGTCAGACTGAGACCCATGTTTGAAGCCTTTGGGCTGGCTGCTGAAAGGGAAAGAGTGTGGAAGCCCAGAGAGGGAGGGTATGTGTGCCATTGCAAGGGCCAGCTGTTTGCTCCTCATCTTGTCTCTAGTAGAATGATAGAACCAGTCTAAATCTGATGCGTTAGGGGCTTCTGTGAGGATTAAGTTGCATTACACCAATGAAGATAAGCAAGTCTCCATATAGTATTTATCTCACCTCTTTGTAGATTTATACAGTTACATAGGTTTTATCTAGAGGAATTTTGAATGTACTGATTTTGAACTTGTTAGGAAATCAGGATTTATAGCTATTCATAAAAACCTGAAGACTAAGTCATTTTAGTAATTTTTTTTTTTACCAACCGGTGCTGCTGTCTTCTCCAAGGAGCAAGTGTAAATATCATTCAGTGTTGAAGCAGTTACTAACAGCCTTCTCAGTAGTAGTAGAATATTGAGTAAAATGTTTGTTGAAATTATATTCCTGAGATGTCAAGAAGGAAATGAAACGTTATATTAAGTGTTAAGTATATAATTTTAATGTTGATGCAAGGGTGAGGGATAATAAGATCTTTGTAGTTAGTACTTAGTTTTATTTTTCATCGTGCGTGTGTTTGTGTGTGTGCCTTCATGTATTATAGAGAGAAAAAATCAGTTGACATTATAGGTACTAATCAGATACAGTTTAAAAGTCAAAAGTTTCAGAAGAATAATGTAGTTTTAAAAAAGTTTCTCTTTGTCTAGTCTCTAGCCACTCATTTTCTATTTTTCAGCTTCTGTAACTGGTATGGGGTGATACTTCCAGCATTTGCAGACATATCTACTTACATTCTTTTTTTTAAAGATTTATTTATTTTATGCATGAGTGCTCTTTCTGCACGTATGCCTTTATGCCAGAAGAGGTGGCTGTGAGCCACCATGTGGGTGCTGGGAGTTGAACTGGAAGAGCAATCATTACTCTTAACCTCTGAGCCATCTCTCCAGACCCCTACTTACATTCTTTGTTTTTTGTTTGAGATATGGTTTCTCTGTGTAGCTTTGTAGACCAGGCTGGTCTCAAACTTACAGAGATCCACCTGCCTCTGCCTCCAGTGTGCTGGGATTAAAGGCGTGCGCTCCTGCTGCCACCACCACCACCACCACCTGGCTAAAAACAATATTTAAAGCACATACCTAGATTGAGTTCTTTTCAAAAGTTGTAGTAGTGAAAATCACAACCTAATGTGTGATGTTTTACTAATACTATTATTGTTTTTAAGATTTATTTTTATTTCTTAGACTGTGTCTGTGTGTACTTATGTGCATGTGAGTATGTAGAGTCAGAGAGCACGTCAGAGCCCACTGAAGCTGGAGTTAGAGGCAGTTAGAGCAGTTGGACACAGGTGCTGGGAACCTTAGTAGGGTCCTCTGCAAGAACAAGATGATCTTTTAACCTCTCAGCAATCTCTCCAGCTCCACTATTACTACTTTTTATAGTAGGGTCTCAGGTTCCTCAGGCTGACCTTGAACTCCTTAACTACCTCTGGAATGCTAGGATTGCACGAACGAATGTGCTACCATGTCTCTTTAATGCAGTGCTGGAGACAGTTTACCAATTGAGCCATGTATCCAATCCAGTTATTTTTGTGAGATTGTGTTTTGTCATTTGGCCTTGTTGGCCTAGAATTCTCTATATAGCCTAGGCTGGTCTGAAACTCTTGAGCATACTAAACCTTCAGATTAGAGGTGTTACCACACAGGGTTAATGTATAACTTTCAAACATTTTTTTTCTTCAGTTAATTTAGTGGTATGCAGTTTATGAGGAGATGGTATAAATACATTTTTCCCACTTGGTTTTTCTTTTCTTTTTTTCTTTTTTTGGTTTTTCGAGACAGGGTTTTTCTGTGGCTTTGGAGGCTGTCCTGGAACTCGATTGGTAGTCCAGGCTGGTCTCGAACTTACAGAGATCCGCCTGCCTCTGCCTCCCGAGTGCTGGGATTAAAGGCGTGCGCCACCAATGCCCGGCTCCCCCTTGGTTTTTCGAGACAGGATTTCTCTCTGTAACAGTCATGGCCAGTGCTGGGATTAAAGGCCACCACCACCCAGCCTTTGTTTTTTTTTTTTTTAATTTGATGGTGATCTTGCTGCATTGTATATGACTGTTGATTATGTCTTGAATTCCTGGGCTCAGTTGATCTTTTTTCTTACCTCAGCTACCTAATTCGGTAGCTGGAACTACCAGTGTGCACCATTATGCTCAACTAAGCAACATGCCTTAGAAGATTCTAAATATAACCAAAGTAGAAATCAGTAATGTAAGCCCATCTTTTCTCATCACTTTGGATTTTGTAGATTTATTCAGTCCTCATTTTTATTCTCTCTCTCTCTCTCTTTTAATTGTATATGTATATGTCTGAGAGTGTCAGTGGGGGCCAGAAGGCATCACCTCTGAAGCTGCCTTATAGGCAGTTATAAGCTGCCTAATGTGGGTGCTGGGATTTGAATGTATATCCTCAGGAAGAGTGACAAGTGCTCTTAACCATTCAGCCGTCTCTTCATCACCTTAGTCTTTAATATTTTTAAAGAGGTTCAAGAAGTTTGAGAGTAAGTTGGCCAAGAATATTAAGGTTTTTAAATTGAATGATTAATTTTTTAAGATATATTGTTAACAGTTTGAAGTATACAGTCAGACTTTTTAGACACTTAAAAATACATCTACTTGAGTCAAGCATGGTATATAGACCTATAGTTCCATTGCTTGGGAAACTGAAGCAGGATGCCAGTAATTCAAGGCCAGCCAGGTTAAGTAGAAAGATTCTGTCTCAAAAGAGAACAAATCTCAAAACAACCACAAAACATACTCCTCAACCAGCAAAAGCACATCAGTTTAATGTATTGATTTCTACATCTACAAAGGCTGTCTAGAACTCTTGTCTTTTCTTTACACCTCTGTAAATCACGTGGTAATAGATCTCCACATGGTGTCACATTTCATAAGTATTCCAATCCAAAAAATAAAACAGAACCTTCTCTGCCTCTTCCCCACAAAAACTAGGAACAGAGCAGACAGAAACTGCTACTCAATTTATCTTGATTTGTTATCTTGGTTAATGCCAACCCTCTATTCTCATGAAGTTTTCAGGAACCCATGAAAACCATCTTTTATTCTACTCAGCCATACTACCAATATCCAGTTTGTCATTATGTCTTGCACCTTCTTTATCATATTTCACATCTTTCTTGTTCCTTTTCTTCTGTATTCTCTTTCTTTTAAATAAACTCACATGCCTTTTAGGCTTTTGTGATGCTTTCCAAATGGTCTTCTTGCTTTCTGTTTTCTGCTGTTTGTTTCCCCATACTTTCTTTGCACTGCTGCAAAAGTAAGTGTTCTTTTTTTTTTTTTTTTTTTTTTTTTTTGGTTTTTCGAGACAGGGTTTCTCTGTAGCTTTGGAGGCTGTCCTGGAACTCACTTTGTAGACCAGGCTGGCCTCGAACTCACAGAGATCCGCCTGCCTCTGCCTCCCGAGTGCTGGGATTAAAGGTGTGCGCCACCAACGCCCGGCTTAAAAGTAAGTGTTCTAACTATTAGGTTCTTCCAGTTGCAAGGAAGAGACTCAGGTTACCTTCAGTAGTAGTTAAGGAATGCTTTTAGAAAGCAAATATGTACATGTAGAGGGAACCTAGGAAAAATGAGACACATTGACTTCAAGAAGAAAAGGAACCTATAAATTGGAAATAGAAGACAGGTTTCACTTTAATTTTTGGCAGTGCTGTGAATAGAACTCACGACCTTGTGCATGCTAAGGAATCACTCTACCACTGAGCCATACCAAGACATAGGTTTTACGTTAGCTTAGTTGCTGCTTTATTATTTTTGCTTAATCCCGTTCTCCTATCTTTTCCTCTTCTGTCTTATAGCTTCCATTTATTCCTCATTTCTGCCTTTTGTAACTACCATGTCATTACCATGCCAACACCTTACTTCCTAGCTGTTGTCTTTTATTTTTTTTGGAGACAGAATTTCTCTGTGTGTAGCCCTGGCTGTCCTGGAACTCGATCTGTGCCCAAGCTGGCCGTGAACTCAGAGATCCATCTGACTCTGCCTCCCAAATACTGGAGTTAAGGTCTGTGCCACCACTACCCAGTGGCTGCTGTCTTTCAAACTTCAAATCTTGAGCTAACTCCTTTGCATTCTAGAACTTTCTGATTTGAATGCTTATGAAAAAAATTTCTTTGACTCACTTTGTTTGCTCTTTTTTTTTTTTTTTGCCTTCTTCCTAGTGGTTGCT